CTCAGATTTATGACCCCATGGGGCTAATTTGTCCGCTGGTTTTTTGGGCAAAGGCATTAATGCAGCACATTTGGTGTTTAGGGTTAGAATGGGATACTCAGCTTCCTGAGACACTTTCTGAGAAATGGTCTCAATTTATCAGTGAGCTCTCAGAAATTGACAATCTAAAAATACCTCGCTACCTTCCCATGGTAAACGCCAGTAATATACAATTACACGGCTTTTCAGACGCTAGTGAATCAGGCTATGCTTCATGTGTCTTTTTAAGGTTAGAAGATTCTGATCACAATGTTTCAACTCATTTGTTGATTGCAAAATCAAAGGTAGCTCCGCTTAAACGCACTACAATACCTAGGCTTGAACTATGCGGCGCTCATTTACTTGCCAAGTTGCTTCACTATTGCATCAATAAGTTTGATAAACAGTACCATATTACAGCTATCAATGCGTGGTCAGATTCTATGATTGCTCTGTCATGGATCCACACCCCATCTTACAAGCTAAAACTATTTGTAGCAAATAGAGTAGCTCAGATACAAGAGCTTACTCCTTCATGCATATGGAGACACGTTTCCTCAGCAGAGAACCCTGCTGATTGCGCCTCTCGTGGCCTAACACCATCCGCTTTAATGAATCATGAGCTCTGGTGGTCAGGACCTAAGTGGCTTAAATGGGACTCAATTACATGGCCACAAACTAAACTTTCCCCAGATCCTGAAGAATCTCTTAATGAACTGAAATCAGAGACATTCAACCTCATAACATCAACCGATGACTCTAAACTACATTTTTTAAGTAAATATTCCTCATGGTCTAAACTTGTAAACGTTATGGCTTATGTTCTTCGTTTTATTAAATGTCTAAAGCTAAAGGCAAAAATAACCACTCATTTAACCAAACAGGAATTTGAAAGTGCAACAAATCGCATATGTTGGTGTGTGCAAAAGGAATGCTTTGCAAATGAGATCAAATCGCTTCAAGCTAAGAAAACATGTTCTACCCAAATACAACGGCTTGCACCTTTCTTAGATGAAGAAGGAATCATACGAGTTGGTGGAAGACTGAAAAATTCACCACTTAAGTACAGTGCAAAACATCCCATTTTGCTTCCCAAGAACCATTTTGTAGTCCACCTGCTGATTGATTTCTTTCATAAAATATATCTACATGCAGGACCACAACTCCTTCAAGCAATGTTAATGCAAAACTACTGGATATTGTCTCAGAGAAGTGTTATACGCTCCAGAATATTTAAATGTATTCGATGTTTCAAAGCTAAGCCTAAAATGACAGCACCTTTAATGGGCGACTTACCTGCTGGACGTGTTACGGCTACTCGTTGTTTCAATGTTTCCGCTATGGATTATGCTGGACCTTTTACAGTAAAGGTTCACATCTTACGTCAACTGCAGCCAATTAAAGTCTATCTCTGTTTATTTATATGCTTTGCCACAAAGGCTGTACATTTGGAGATGGTCACAGATCTTTCAGCAGATGCATTCATTGCTTCCTTAACTAGGTTTACTGCCAGACGAGGCACTATATCAGATTTATATTCAGATTGTGCCACCAATTTCATTGGAACAGCCTCAACGCTTAAAAAATGCTTCCAAGACCTAATGATAAAACCTGAAACACAACGGTTTGCCCAGAACAACAAAATAACTTTCCATTTCATACCACCTCGAGCTCCACACCAAGGAGGCTTGTGGGAGCGGGCAATAAAAAGTGCCAAATACCACTTGAAGAGAGTCATAGGTACACAAATCCTTACCTATGAAGAGTTTCTAACACTGATTGCTCGTGTTGAGTCAATGTTAAATTCAAGGCCTATTACACCACTCTCTGCAGACCCATCTGACCTTGAAGCATTAACTCCAGGACACTTCCTGACAGGAGGACCTCTGACGTCTCTAATAGAACCTCATCTCACGGATATCTCTGTAAATCGCCTGAAACGGTGGAAACTTGTGCACGCATTTGCTCAACACATATGGAACAGATGGCATAGAGAGTATCTGCAGACCCTCCAAGAACGATCTAAGTGGATTACTCCAGAAGAAAACCTCAAGATCGGAGACTTAGTAATCATTCATGAAGACAATACTCCACCTCTTGCTTGGATGCTTGGTCGAATCATCTCAGCCTCTCCTGGTCAAGATGGCACTGTAAGAGTCGTTCAAATCAAGACATCTACAAAAACCTTAACACGACCTGTAGTTAAGGTTTCCCGCCTTCCTATAAACTAACCTAACATAACTCTGGCTACCAACCCCCTTCCTTATTTTTATTCCTCATATTTCAATCATGCATGGTTCTTGTTTTTCTGTTGAACCGGATCGGTTCAAGGGGGCCGGTATGTCAAATATATATACTGTTTTGTTCTAAGTATTCTTATATTAATTTTTAATTTTAATGCACTCTAATAATATGTAACTGATTTCACCACAATCTCCATTTAAATACCATTTCAAATAGTTAAATGTTTTCCTCATAGAGTGCATCAGTATCTTCAAACCCCAATGGTTTCAAGACTAGCTCTCTGATTGGTCACTGATATGTATCACATGACCAACTCCTTCCTTCAGTAGAGTAGTGGCACACTCTTGGGCAAGTCCTGTTGCTATGAGGACTTAACATGCCTTTTCTCCTACATTTTCAAATACCATAAACCTCTATACCAACATAAATATTTACCGCTGGCTTATAGCTTATTATAAAGACAATTGAAGTGTTTTTTAACATCATATAGTGAGAAAAAGTGAACTTATCAACATTATAGCATTTCAGGATTCATCAAAGGGGGCCCCCAGTCTACGCATCAGTTTAATAACAAAAGGTTAGTGTATCCAATTCAAAATTACTATAATACAGTCCACATTGCTTTCTAATTAACATAAATTCCCCACACAAATATTTATAGGCCTATAATTTATACAATTTCATTGAGCGCAAACTTATTTTTTTTTGAAAATTTTTCAAAATATTTTTTTTTACCTAAAAATTTTTTTTGAAACAAATGTTCCTTATGTTCTATGTATAATATTGAAGCCATGATTTTCCAAACAAAATGGTATATAGAACAGTATAATTAACATTGTTTTCAAGCTTCTCAGATCCGTTTTAATAAAACCTTGCAAATGAGCAAAAAATAGGCAGACATTAAGGCCAAAACAAGGGACACTCGGAGGGATAAAAAAATCCGTCTGTCATTTTCTATGTAAGGTAGCCTAGGCCTAGTGTCAGGCGATTTTCGGGTACAGTTTCTTAACCCTCCGAGTGTCACGCGTCGAGTTTAAGACGCACAACACACTTTGTGTAGGGTCACGCGTCGAGTTTAAGACGCACAAACATCGTTTACGGCGAAGGCTCTATGACTGACTGATTCGGATTGAACTGGATCGAGTTAGGTATCGTTCTTTCCGTAATATTCTAAGCTTTCTCCAGAGGTCTGTCTCTAAGCGCTATTCATTTTAGTTCCGAAAATATTGTAGCAGACAGCTGACGTGCGTGTATTTGTAAACAGCTAGGTTCCCCCGGACCGATGACTGATGTGTTTTATTACGTTTATCATTGTTTTAGTGTTAAAAATCAAAAGTAGTGATATACGTGGTGCATTATAAGAAGATTTAAGTGGTTTTGAAGTGCTGGTTGATGATCCTGAAGAAGTAGGTAGTGATATTGATGTAAATTATCAGCCAGATTCCTAGCTATGGTTAGGCTATGCATTCTTAGCTAAACGCTATGTACTGAAATCCGTTTTTCGCTCATAACTTATTTATTTGATAACTTACCTCGCTATATGATTATATATTTGTAATCCTCATTAAATTTAGAACAAAGTGGCTATTTTCAAATATTTATAGGCCTATAATTTATACAATTTCATTGAGCGCGAACTTATTTTTTTTTTGAAAATTTTCGAAATTATATTTTTTTTTACCTAAAAATTTTTTTTTGAAAAAATGTTCCTTATGTTTTATATATAATATTGAAGCCCATGATTTTCCAAACAAAATGGTATATAGAACATTAGAATTAACATTGTTTTAAGCTTCTCAGATCCTTTTTAATAAAACCTTGCAAAGGGGCCAAAAATAGGTGGACATTAAGGCCTAAACTATGGACACTCGGAGGGTTAACTGGGCTACACTAACATTGTTTTAACTAACTTAGGCCTATCAAATTGAAAATAGGCCTTTTGATTAAGTTAATAATCAATATTTTAACCCTCAGAGTGTTAAGCATTGCGTAATCGACGCACAACACACCCGCTGAGGTGTTGTGCGTCGCTTTTGCAACACACAAACATCGTTTATTTAGAAGGCTCTGAGACTGTCTGAATCAGATTGAACTGGATCAAGATTGGTACCTATTGTTGTTTTCGGCAGATTTTAACTTAAGCTTTCTCCTGATGTCTGTTTCTAGACGCTTTTTATTTTAGGGCTGCACTTTACTTGGCGTCCTACCCTCATTCGAATGAAAATATCGATCGATATATCGATTAATCGATTGCTTCATTCGATATATCGTTTGGTTAGTTAGGTAAGGTTAACTTAACCTAACTAACCAAACGATATAGCCTATCGAATGAAAATATCGAATTGAAAAAAACAAACAAATGAGTGTAGGACGTCAAGTAAAGTGCAGCCCATTTTAGTTCCCAAAATATTGTAGCAGACAGCAGACGTGCGTATTTGTAAGATACAACTTGGTTAATCTTGCACCGATGACTGATATGTTTTATTACGATTATCATTGTTTTAGTGTTAAAAATAAAAAGTAGGCTAGTGATAACTTATTTAGGCTACTTGGTGCATTAAGTTATAAGAAGATTTTTTAGGCAGGTAACGACAATGTTCGAAATAGCTTAGGCTAAGTTATTGCCTCACCTTAAACTAAAATTTTGGTAAATAAACTTAGTATAATTTTCGGTGTGCCAACTTAGGCCGCGGTTAAGGGGTTAAAATGAAATCCTTAAGATTTGTTTTTGTTTTCAGATGTCAGGTGATCCAAATCTAATTCCAACAACATATATTCCAACCACGTCCACTGGGAAGTAAGTTGCCCTGACTATAAGTTAACTTAGTTTTGTACTTTTTCTTTAGTCAATCATTCATAGTTTTTAGGCTAGGCTCATAGTTATTTTAACTTAAATATTTTAAGTAGAGGTCCCGGGTTCGATCCCCGCCAAGTCACCAATGGATTTTATCTTATCTAAGTGATAATGCCGCAACCCCTAGGTACTGTATAGCCTGAAGCTATGTGAAAAACAATCCCAGACTCGTGCCTAGCATCCTAACTTAGGACAAAAAAAAAGAAAAATATAGGCTATATATAACTTACCTACATCAGTACCTAATACTGAAGATAATTTGTCCCTATAAAGGAAACTAAGATTTTTCACTAAGTAGTCTAAAGAAAAAATTAAATAGGTAGGCTACCCATTTTCATTATTCAATAGGCCTAACTAGTAATTAGTAGGACTGATTGTTCGTGCAACCCCAATCTAAACTTTTAATTTGGAAAAACCTTTTGTATCCAACTCCATCGTATTTACAAATAATATCCATCTAAAAACTGGGGTCCCATCCATCCAATGGGAATTTTTTTTTTAATCATGTTCTATTAAGGTCGATTCACACACATCAGTTACGGCAAGTCACAGTAAAGTCACTTCAGGCACGACACAGTTAACAAAAATATTCTTTGATGGATTTTCTATTGCGCTATCTACACTCATCCGTTGCAGTCCCGTCAGTCACTCTGCTGGCATCCGTCAGTCAATTTCAGATTTCTTTCCAACGATACTTTTTGATTGTTCGGACGCCTGACGGAACTGTTTGAGGTAAGAAAATAGTGTTATTGTTATTTAAATGGTCGCGTTTGTATTTTGAGTACTGTTTGTAACAATCAACAAGATGGACAATGATAATTTAATAGAATATAGGTTTAAAATTTAAATTTTTTGACTATAAATTACTGTAAATATTAGAGACGGAAGACTGACTGAAACCAACTGACGGACAATTGACTGAGAAATTGCGGATGCAACTGTGACTGGACTGTAACTGGACTGCAACTGGACTGTAACGGAACTGTGACTGGACTGATGTGTGTGAATCGACCTTTAGGCTACTCCACTTTTGATTAGCCTATCTCATCCATTTAAAATTTTCACTATCAAGACATATGATAATAATTATGGTTCTGAAATGTGATTACAAAACAGATAGTTTGTAACAGTACCTTCTACCTACATTTTTTAGCGCTGTTAATAGCTTTTTAGTAGGATTATTTTTGGTTCTGTTGTTTTCAAACCTCAAGCAACAACAAAAATAGAACTAAAGTTAGGTTGCTTCACTTTGATGTATCAAGGGGTCTTTATCACCCCCCCTCCCACGCTCTGATTCTTAGTTGTACTATGATTTTTTAATGTGCTAATATGGTCTTTGCAGTGTTGGATACATGGTGATGTCCTATCCAGGCCGCCCACCCATGGTTCCAGGGATCCCTATGGGCCCTGGCATGGGGATGCCGTACATGCCATTGGGAGGTAGGTTTAACATTTGTTATGTTGTCTAATTAATATCTTGCCATATCTATTCATTCATTAATATATTATGAAGGTTTTTATCTTTTGAAAATTAAATTGCTCTTAATTTTGTTTTTTTCTTCTTATACAGGCCCTTATAGGGGCACATCAAGTGGTATGGATTCTGTTTTGGAAGATCCTATGTAGCCTAAACCCTGAAGTTTTTCAGGGTGTCCAGCCAACCGGAAAAACCGGAAATTGTACATGTGTGAATTGTACGTAGGTTTGTGAGGAACCGGAAAATTTTAATTTTTGATAATTCACCAAAAAACACCTGAAATCACAGATTTTTTTTATTTACATAATTGAAAAGAGAAGAAGAATTGGCTAACTCAGGAACTCGCTAACTCGGTCGTGTGTCGGAACTGGCTAACCGTCTCAGTCAGGAATTGGCTAACTCCGGAACCCGCTAACTCGATTTTGTCTCGCGGCGGAATTCGCTAACTCTGGAAGTCGCTAACCCAGCCGCGCCAACCTTACCCAAGCGTTGCCAACCTTGCACGACGAAATAATCGTACACTGCAGTATTTCAAAATATCAGTGTCAATGAAGATACAGTAAATGTTATTGTTTTTTGTTATCAACTCCACTTTGAACAGATAACTAGCCCAAAGTAGTTAAAAGACAATTAAAAAATCATGAAAAAGTGTTTTTTTTTTTATTGAACTGTACAATGGCCAATTAAATGTTTATGATTTTGATCTTAAACATAAATGCTATCAGTATAAAAAAATTAAAAATATGAAAAATATTGAAAATTCAGTTTAATTGGTAGGCTACTAAATAATTAAACATCTCCTACGAAATTAAGCTAAAATACACGCAAGTTCTCAAACACGGAAAACAAATTTAATCGTAATGTCGTAATCCAAACCATCAATTAATACAGTAATCAACCAATGTAACTTTCATAATTCATAGATTTAAAATTAAATGTTCGCCGTTGAATCTTCCAACTTACGTGTAAAAAATATGACGGTCTAAATTTCATATCAATTATAGAATATAGCTTTGGCCTAAATCTAGGCCTAATAGTTTAAACCAAAGCATTGTAGGTCTACTAGTAAATAGTTTTTAGATTATACACCTATGCACCTCTAGTAAATAATAGGAGAAGATATAATACATAGACTATAATAAAAAAAACGGAACAGGGTTATTTTAATTCACGATTCTTAATCAACGACTTGACAGATTTTCCTGATTTGAGTGTTGGGTTTCCTTTATATTGTTTTTATAATCAAGTGTATACCAAGCCATTGCTCGGTTCCCCGTTCCCCGGTACTGAGCTACTCAATAGACAATAGCTTTGTTTTTAGATAAGATCAGGTAATTTTAGCTATAGCCACCATTCATAAAAATGGTAACAAACAAGAACGCCTGGGTCCATCTAGAACCATAAAAACTCAAAACTTTTAAAAAGTAGGCCTACTGAAAGACGTAAAATTAATATTAATTAAACAAAATTAAGAGGATGACACGGGTTTTACACTACAGTAGGCCTAATAGCCTATGATAACAGAAATTTGCAATTTGTATTTATGCATAGACAAATTTTTAATGCAATCCATGAATACATTAGGCCTAGGTACCACTTTATAATGTATTGATCAATATTTATTTAAATTCAATAGCTCTATTTAAAAATAAATTACCACTACAATGCATTTCTGTAATGACGTTTAACGTGTAAATTTTATCATGATTTATGACTCAATTTTATGATCAAATGTTAGGAGCCCAGTATATAAAATACAAACTTAATAATTTTATTTGCAGAAGTTATCAAAATGGTATTTATTCGAATAAAAGAAACAAATGGTGGACTACGAAAATAGATATTTTATAACATGTATAATATCCTAATTAAATGTACAGTATTATCATTTTGCATCCCAATAAACTACTATTTAAGTAAGAAAACCACATATAAAACATACTCCCTTATATTAGTAGGCCCACATTTCTCATCCTTAAGGATCAGCTGAAGACAGATTTATTGTTGGTTATGTCCGGTGCACTGTCTTTAGAGGTCGTGTTTTGTTTACAATTGTTTCTTGTTTTAAGTCATTCAAAACCTCGTTTAACCAAATAAAACGTTCTAATCACAACTTATAACACGTACCCTATTTATATAACCAAACAGTAAAGAACAAATCATGAAGTTAATCCTATACGAGTAAAGTTTGAATAATTGTCAACTCGATCTGGGAATCGGCAACAAAAACGTTTATATTTACGGAATAACTAAGTTCTGTGTAAAAAATAAGTTCTAGACCAGTGGTATAGCCAGGAAAAATCTATTTTCACCATAATATGAGTACAAACTTTTGAAAATTTAACATGGGCCTTATGAGAAAACGTTCCGCCATTATTGTCATTTTGTTTACATTTTAAGACATAACATGACGTTCTGTACCCACGGGCACCTCAGCTTGCGCATGCGCAGAAGCACTTTCCGAGGTAACTGTTGTACTTCTGATGTGTATTAACTTCTGACATACAATTTTGTCAACTTGAGACAGAGAAAGAGCACGACTTGACTTTGCTCCAGTTCATTAAATCGTTTGATGTATAAGAATTTGTATTACATTATAAAACTTTCCAGAGTAATGAGTTTCTAATCCATTAAAAAACTATTCTTACATTATCCTCAGCTTTATTACTGTTTATTTAATACTTTTGACAATATAAACGAGCGATACAGTATATTTTATTTTTTATTATTTTTAATGCTTTTAATAATAGTTATCATCACTAAATTACTCTTTTCGTTGGTTGTCGAGTCGTGTCGTTGTCAAAAATGTCGTCTGATTCTGACTGATGTCAGATGGTACACTGAATCGGTCACAGGGATAATTATTAATTGTAACCTACGACTAGCTTACCTAACTAAGTTTGAGTGTTGCTATTAGCAGTGTGGGATGATTGCACTGGACCGTTTAGCTATCTATTTCAGAAAAATAAAGTTTAAAAATCAAATCCTAGAGGATCTGTTCTTAAGTTTTGGCCGTTTTGACATGGATGCTTTCAGGACTCAGTTTAGCCTAGCCTGAACAACTGGGTTAGTAGCTTGACTTAGTGGTTCATCCATTTTTAGTTTATTAACACTAATAAATGCCTAATCTAGATTATACGTGCCTAATTCTACTCCGTTTTAAAACTAATATACATAGGCATAAGCTTTAATTTTTGTATTGAATACTGGGTACATTATTAAGGTAACTCGGTTAGGTTGCTTTTTTTAAATGAATAATTTCATGAATCACTAATACCCTATATCATCTAGGTGTGTTCAGTACGTAATGACACTCTCTCAAAAAGTACTAACCCAAATAAAATATAGGTAGGTATCTTTAGGCCTACAGAGGATGAGTGTTTGTATTTGTATCACTTATATTTATATCTCTGTGGTTAGGTTTTAGTTATGTTTGCCTTAAGATGGCTATAAGTTTAGGACTAGATATCAAATAAACTCCCAATTAACTTATAGGGCAGCCTAGTCTATAATTTATCAGTGTCAATAAAATAGTGCAATTATATCGAGGACAACCAAACTTGGATATACAACCCAACCTTAAAATTGAAGTGTACTTATTAAGTGGACTTAAGTATATTAACCTAAGTTCCCTTTTTGGTACTTACCAACAAGGATCAACCGTAATTTTTTTCAGTCAGAAAGTGTCCTGAGTTTCCGGAAAATTGTAACTTATTACATTTAAAAAATTAAGGGTAAATTAAAGGTTTCGGTTCTGGTTTCGGAGCGAGTCCAAGTTCTTGCAGTGACGAAGATTTTCTTACTGTTGATAGCCTTTTTGCCTTTTTCGAATTCAGTGTGAAAAATACTGGGTGATTTCCATAGTTTGGGCCGTTTAGGGAAACCAAACAAATTTTTAAAAACTCTTCTATCACATCATTTCAGTAAACTATGATATTATTATTTTAATAGAAGTTAAATAGATGTCAAGAAAAAATATACCACAAATTACTATTTTTGGGATAGAATTACATTGACCAAAGAATACTCTCAGAGTATAGTGTAGTGACAAAGTTTCCCGAGCAAAGCTCGGTCCCCAGGTACTTATAAAATAATAGAACCACAATTTCGTCGACACTAGCGTTTAGTGTCACCGGACATGAACTAGACACGAACAACGAGCTTCAAAGTTTGCAATAGAATGTAAAGTTTACTTGTGTTGGTTAGTCTATGGTAAGACTATAATGCATTTTCTACCCTAATAACCATAAGAATAGTATTAAACATACTTCTAATCTAAATATATTTATTTTATCAGCTACGTTGCTCTTACTCCTAATTATTCGTAGGATACGACATTATGGTCACCGATACGATATAGGTACTTCACTTTCGGCAACACTGGCCAAAAATCTTCGTGCTTGGCTCCCATTGGACGGCCCGCGAGGCTTCTGATTGGGAGTTAGCGAGTTCCGCCGAGGGACCGAGTTAGCGACTTCCGTACGAGGACGGAATTCGCTAACCCGGCTCTAGAGCGGGTTAGCGGGTTCCAGAGTTAGCCAATTCCGAAACCGAACAGGTTAGTGAGTTCCTCTCATCGACCAAATTTGAAGATAGGGCGTTTAACATGAGGTTAGCGAGTTCCAGAGTTAGCCAATTCCGCGGACCCATTGAAAATCACAAATTTATTTTCCATTGTAATTAGGCTGGGGCTAGTCATAATGAGTACAAACCTTAAATCTATTTATTTTTATAGGTCCGCCTCCAATGATACCCACTGTGATGCCGATGGCTCATCCTCATGTAAGTTAAATACTAACATTCTATAAATAGGCTAGATCTATAATTATGTTAACAATTTAAAAGAAATTGTCAAGCTTCCACAAATCTGATGGATCAACTTCTGATTATTATATTCCAGCAGCATTGCTTCTATTTCAAGAATCTGACAAGCAAGAGTTCATAATTTTTAAAGCATTATGGCTGGCGAAGTGTGATCTATTCTGAAATTTATATATCTATTAAGCTACTTTCAAACAAAGGCCTATTTATTTTTGGTGTGGTTTTCATACGACGATCCTTATTTGTTGTAAACTTATTTGCATTTTAATTTTAAACAAGTGATTTTTTAGAAATGAAAACAAGCCTTTGATATCGATCAATCTATTCCAAAAACTGAATCTCAAGTAGGAGGTCTTTAAATATTGAAGCAACTTTAAATTTCTAAGTAAAGCTTTTGTAGTAAAACAACCAACTGAACATACAGTTTGTCATTCCCGCCTGTATTTTTATCTTAAGGACTAAAACGTATTGCCTATAATTACTTATGCTGTAAAATTAACTATTTTTCTTTAAGATCTGATTTTGAGCTGTATTAATTGTAAAAATATTCATCTCAATTAAAAACCTATGCCTACCATATTAAAAAGAAGCTACACTACTTATCCTGTGATTCATGTACCTTCCAGATGATGGCCGGCCCTCCGATGGCAGCTATGCCTATGAGGCCGTACCGTCCACACAATGCACAGCAGAGGCCGCAGAACCGACCTCGGCCACAAAACATGGTGCCACAGGTAGTGTCAGGCCCCACAGTCACAGTGTTTGTGGGAAACATCACAGACAAAGCTCCTGACCAGATGATACGCCACATACTGGCTGCGTGTGGCACCGTGCTGTCGTGGAAACGTGTCCAAGGTATGGTAGAAATAAATTGGTACATCTTGGTTACAGGTTAAGTTGATTGTTCCATTTCCTCCCTTGTAAGCTCTCCTTGATAACTCTTGGTGCAATGTTTGTCTGTAGTAAATCAAATATAATTTTACATTGTTTTTATTACACAAACCATAAGAAACTACCAGTAAGGTACAGGTAGTTCCAGCTAAGTTGGCACTTGACCGATCGATAGAAATTCTCTACTAACATATGTCAAAAACATTTTCTGCAGTCATGTGGGTAGCATCAACTGTCCTCTCGGCCTGCATGAAGGCGCTGGCTGGAATGGATGAAAACACAAAATGCTTTTCTTAAAATATGTGTACTGTAGATAAAAGTTAGTATGTTCACTCCTTTCACTTTTAAACATTTCCGCAACACAAATTATTAATAAATTTAAGCTTACTTTACAGACTAATGTTAAGTGGGATGAACACATTAAATCTTTGTGCAATAAGGTAGCTAAAGCAATCTTTAATTATGTACTTAATACAATAAAATTATTGCGGCTTCAAAAGAGAGCCTTAAGAATCATGTTCAGTGTTAATCGTAGGACCCATTGCAAACCACTTTTTAAGAAACTTAAAGTAATGACTGTTCCCTCTTTGTTTATATTGGATTGCTTAATGTACATTAGAACTAATTTAGAGCAGTTTCAAACTAATAGCTATGTTCATAACTACTTTACTAGGCAAAACAATTATTTAAGAACTGACCAATGTAACTATCGAAGAACAATTAATTCAACTTTTGAGCTGGGTAAAAGAATGTACAATAAGTTACCGAACCATGTAAAGCAGCTAGATTTAATTAGATATATAAGTCTTATTTGAAGCGACTCCTCCTAATCAGTTTAATGTTACCTGCTGTAACTCATAAATGTTATGTGCAAATAAATACTTTGACTTTGACTACCCATTTTTTAATTACACAACCAAAATTCTTTATACTAGAAAAGACACATATTTACACTGTGATGCTAGCAAAGCTGACGACTTACTAATAAAGCATAGTGTTTAAGTATTCCCCTGGGTTTTCATAACAATACCACACCCTATTAGTCATCTCCTATTAGTTTAGTATGATGTTAATCTTCGTTTGGAGGCACCAACCCCGTGAGTCCGCAGCGGAATGTTTCAGAAAGATCTTTGCCTAGCTTCCACGCACCCCCCGCCCACACTGCCACACAGTGGTGCGCCAGGCCCAAGTGCCAACTTAGCTGTAACTACCTGTACACCAGTTTGTTTGATGATCGCAAAACTTTTTTACCTTAAAAATTGGACTTTAATATTCTATTGGTCTCTCACATTTTTACAACTGTGTTGGGTTGGTATGGGGATGATATCATTACCTCCATTACAATAAAACCTGATACTGATGATAATTAATTATTACCACATACTATTTTGATCATAATTGTTATTTTAGTGATTTTTATACATATACTTATTTTATTCTTATGATTACAAAACAACGTGCTCTTTTCTAGAAAATTTTTTTAAATAATTAATCTTTGCTTTGTTGTAGCATTTGGTTTTTGCGAGTACGGAAATCCAGATGCAGGACTACGTGCCATCAGAATCCTTCATGAAATGGAAATTGGAAACAAGAAACTTGTTGCAAAAGTTGATGCCAAAACACAATCCGTCCTAGATGAATATAAAGGTGAGCATACTTTTCCTTTTGAACTTTTCACTCTTAGCCCATTGTCCGTTTTGTGTGTGCGCTGATAAGGTGAGGGATTACAGGTGTGTCAGTCTAGCCACCAAATCTATTATTGATTCTGTACCTCACTCCTATTATTAAAAATGTTCTTGAAAGTGATTGGATTACTAACTAATTGATCAATTATTTCAAATGAGCACCAAAGCAGAATAGTTTCTCAGCCCTCTATGATGGTATGCAAACAAATATTGTTAGTTACAGTCAAGTTTTATTTTTTGTTTAATGCGAGTGTTGCATATTGTTAAACTCCTTTAAACAAAAATTCAGTGAATAAGGTTAACTATAATGAAAAACCATATTACCTTTGTATCCACAAAGGCTTTGGCTGAAAATGATATTTTAGTGCATAAGTGTTTAATTAATTTGAATTAAAAGAAACACTTTGAACACTCTTTTTTCTAGCTGAAAAAAGGAAAAAGATCAGAGGTCGTTCACCCTTGCAAGATGAGCCTGAGGAGCCAGATGACTACATTGACGAGGAGATGAGGAAGACTGACGAAGCAGCTCAGGAGCGCATCAGGACCATCCTGGAGGACTACGCGCAGGATATGAAGAACTATTCTGGTACAAATGGATGAGAAATTAAAATTTTAAAAATCAGGGCTGTAAGTTTATCTGATCTTTGGTTTTCCGACCCTCCGTGGAGACAATCAAGTACAGTATTAACAAAATTGTGTGCTATTTCTGTGATTGTTGAAACAACTGATTTTGCCACCACTGTATGGAATCCAAACATAAACCTGTGAATGAGTAAAACACTTGTTACTACAGTTGGGGTGTTTTGTTAGATTTTTTATGACTTGAATCAATGGAAATAAAAAATTGAAGCCTTAATGGGTTCATGTCAAGATCGAGACTATCTCATTTTAGGCCTAATTACTTTAACGCTAGAATTCCTAGGATGTTACTTAGTCTACAAGGTCTTTGCGATTGGTTGTTTTTATGGTCCAAACATTCAGCTATGAAAGTTTGCCTATGATTTGTTTCTAGGCATTTTTCATAAGTTTTTGTAACAAGATTGTATTGTTACAGCCACCAATGACACTGACAAGCGGAGGACGATGTCTGACAGGCTGACGTTGCTGACTCAAGCGTCTGAGGCCAGCGTGCGGGACACTGACGGGGTGAGTGGATCGGTCACATGCTTTAACTACTCTTTTCTTGTACCTGTGTCTCAGTTTGGGTTACAGTCTTCGTTTGGTGGGCTCCTAATTCAAACAGAACTAGATAAATAATTGAAACTTGATGATTGAAAATTAAAGCTCAGTCTGTAAAGAATCTGTTAACATTTCAAAGTTTTCATACTTTTGATACTCTTGATGTTTTGAAACCAAACAGAGAGCAGGCCCCAGTAATTTGATGTTTCGTAGGCATAACACCCTATAATTCGAGGGGAGGGATTTTTTCTGGTCATAACAGGATACCATAAATTTTCTTAAAACAAGAAACAAATACATTTCCTTTAAACAGTAGTTTTGGTGTTGAGTAAGAGCAGTAATCGTCTGGTTGGCAGTGTTTGCTTGCACGATAGGTTTTGTATTTTGTTGTCCTTAAAACTAATACTACAGATTCATATAGCTATTCAACACATATGTTCATTTGATTTCCAGCCGATTGACCTCGACGATGCCAACATAGAAGAAGGTAAACGAGATCTGATTACCAGGGAGATAGGAAAATTCAGAGAAATCATGAAGGTAAGCAAAAGCATAATACACAACTGTAAACTTTCAAAATTCTTTTCAGAAAAAAATAAACTTTCATTCTGTACAAACAATAACTTTCCGATATAAAAGAGTTTACTTGCAAAGTATAAAATGAATTAAAGTGAAATGTATTGTTAGTAGTACAGTAATTATAATGGTTGGGGTAAGTGTTGATTGTTGCAACTGGCACATGATATAGGTTGACTGAGCTGCGGACTCCGGGCTGTGATTGCTCGCTTGCGTCGATGGTGAGTAATATATCTGCGATACCAGACCAGAGCTGGGTGTCCACAGAAGTCCCTAACTTACAGTAGTCAAGGTACAGGCGTTTTCCTAGCTGCTGAATTTGGCAGTGACTGTATCCCAAGACGGGGGACTGTCCAGAAGCAGCGGTTGTGATATAGACATGCTCCTGCATTATTTTTGGCTGTTTATTGTGGTGAATTATGACGGGTTTCATTTGTGATGGTGACTGTGTTAATAGTGTTAATTTATATTGTGTGTTTCAGTCATTATGTTCTGAGACACGGTTATAGCCAACTACAAACTAAACAAGTTCACTTGTAATTTTAGCAATATTAGATTGAAATTGAACTTAAACTGTTTATGGATCATGTGTATATACAGAACACCACACATCCAGATTTTAGAAACTCCTTTAAAAGTGAAAAACTATGTACACTAGACTAATAAAACTTACCTGTTAACCCAAACCGCATACAGTTAAAAATTCAGCAGTAAAAGATCCGTACAACATTCACAATCTGCAGCTAAATTCGGCAGCCAGGAAACCTACCTTAAGGCACACGTGTATATTTTCAGTTACGATTTTACGTTTTTATTTTTTCCCCTATATTGTGAAAAAAATGTTATTGTTTTATTTAACCATTCCTTCTTACTTATGATATCTTGCCTGTCTCCCTTACACTCTCTGTTAACCATGAAGACTTAGGATGTGTCTATCAGGTGGAATAAGAGAGGATGGTCATATCTTGATGATTTCCATGTAGTTCTTAGTCCCATTTTAATAACTCTGTTTTACTTTGGCTTAACTTTTTTATTCAATTATTGAAGTAAGTTTTGGTTGCAATATTTCAGATTCTATCGCAGAAACAGTTTTTTTCTAACCTTAATTTAAAGGCTCTTATTTACAGTTTTCTTCTGTTGGTACCCAACTTTGGTAAAAATAAAACTATTTACTATTAAATTAAGTATTACCATTTTAAGAGATATGTTCTAATCATCTAGCATTTGTTTATACTATGTTAGTTTTAATTCAATTGCATGCTCTACATTAGGGTCCTCTTGTAATGATTTTAACACTAACATATTTTCAATCGCCGTGTTGCACTTTTGAGTTTTAATTTAACAAAGTTATTTATTAAAATTTTAATTTAATAAATATCTCTGAGCTTCCTCAGTTCGTATGTTTGTTAGTATGCCTTTAATTAAACCATTAGTCTAGAATCGTTAAAGATACCATGCCTACTCTTACCTCTATGTTATCCATATCATTTCATGAATGTTTCCAGTAACTTAGTGCATTCCTAATTTTCTTGTAAAACACATCAGTTATTTAGGTAGCTCAGTCACTTACTTAAGTAAACAAATTTTACGCCACACTACACTGTTTTGACAAACTTCCCACGGGATTTAGTTCAGAAAACAGATGTTTGCCGTCAGCTTAATCAAATGAGGTTTCATTATGTACTACTGTACTGTAATGAGTTTTACCGGACACCAACCAGTTGATTATATACTGTATTTGGCAATGAGTGAGAGTGGCTAGTTGATAAACAAAAACATAACCTCTCTTAGAGGTTATGACTAGTGATTGTTAGTCCTTTAGTCGGTGGTAATATATAAGGATTTGTATGGATTTAGTAGTATGGTGTAAAATATCATACGTCACTCGTCCAAAATGGGTTTACCGGACTTGTATGGTAATCCCGTACTCGACTTTGTCTCGGGATCAACCACACTCGTCCGGTAAACACCTATTTTCAGGACTAGTAACGTAATATACTATTTCATGCTTTGGAGTTCTTGCACCCACCTGATCAGTTCTGATAACATTAGTTTGCAATAGTTTGTGTTTGGCAAGCTTGGCATTTCTGGGTTGCTGTGGTATGTGTTCATCTTGGTTCTTTATCTTTCGTTGTCTCCACCGTAACTGACTGTTCACTTGTTTTGGTTCCATTTTTTTGTTACAGAATATTAGTAACGTCCGTGCATTAGTATGTATTAAAGAAAACGTATACACTTTTGTCTTTGCGTATGCATGCTGTTATTTCACTAGATATTTTGGGATAGTATTAAAACAAGTTTTCAGGGGTTTACAGTGATGAAGACATTGAGTTTTGAAGGTGTAGAGAGTTAGTTTATACGTGACGGAAGATCACAAGAACGTCATCGCAGTTGTTTCTACCGACACTTAACCAGAGGTAACCTCCAGATCAGCAACAATATGTAACTGTCTCGCATGTTGGGCTTCTTTAGGCTTCATTAGACCTTACCAACTTACTTTTTAGACTCAGAGCTAGACAGGACAAACGTTAGATTTTGATGGTTGTTTTAATTAAATTGAAGTCAATACAACACTACCCCTAGGTGATACCGAGACATTAAACTAGCCCTTTGTTAACTTGCTGAAAACAGCTCATTGACAACAATTAAGTCTCACAATTTCCTATTTATGCATAATACTGTAATTTATCGTGGTTTTGTAATTAATATGCTGGAAAGTAGATTTTTTGTAGCAATTAACTAGCATCCTAAGAAGAGTATGATAATTGTGAAACTTGATTTGTTCGTAACTTAATTTTGAATTTACGTGTGATTTTTTATAAATTGCCTAAGACAAACTTAACATAAAAGCTGAACAAAATTTATCATCTAAAGTAGTGCTGTTTTTTTTATTTTGATATTGACAATGTAGTAGGTACAATGTTGGCAAACTTGTTGTAATTATTAGCTAATTTATTTTTTTATTTACTTATACTACCTTTTGAGGTTAAATAAATATTTACATAAATAATGTGAAAATATATTGACCAAAGGTTGGGTTTGTTTAGACACTTTGTGTTGTATGATAACTATGATAAGTCTTTCACATGCTAATAAATAGAGGGTCATGTCGAATGGTGACTTCCGAAGACTCAGAAGAACCCGAGAAAGAGGTCAGGTAAACACCGTTCTCTTAACAGTTCTGTTAACTTATAAGGTTTATGGAGCTTCCAACAACAAACTTAATTTTCATAGACTTACTATTTGAGTTCTGGTCTGACTGTATCACCTTTCCAAAATAATTTTAATTGCATTTGAACAAAGTTGTTTTGGCTTGCTTAGTTTTTATTGCTATAATAGATACGCATGCAATGCTTCATACCTTTCCCATGTTGACGGCCGCCTCCATGCGTAAGTATATTTTTTAACCTCAACTACATTCTATCAAATATTCTATACTTAATTTGTTGTAATCTTTTATGTTTATGATGTACGTTTAAGAGATTTAACTTTATGTTGTAATATCACTATGTTTACTTAAATATGCGTCGTGATGCGCTTGGTTTCCTTAGATTCTTTGCCACTTCTGGTTCTTCTGTTTTTGAGGGTTTTCGGTTCAGTCGTATGTAAGTATAGATTAAATCTCAAATATTGTTTAATAGCATGACACCTATCCATCTAAGTATTGCTATAATTATGTTTGTGTACTTTTCTAGTCAAATTATTTACGATTTAAAGTAGAAGTTGGGAAATATATTTTATAATTTTATTATAAACAGATGGATTAAAAAAAAATAAAATATAGCTAGAGTTGGAGGGGTAGGTTGTTATAGTGGCCGTTTACATGATTTATTTTATAGAGGTGCCATAAAACTACGCTTTAATGTGAAATTCTTATTATGTATTTAAAATTTAATGGACAACAAATTTCAGAATATTTGAATCAACCACAAGTTTAACATCGGAGAGTAAAAGGTTTAGTTTTTCCCTAATCCAGTGACTTGTAGACAATGAAAAGAAGAAGAATTTTTACTTTTACACAATTATATACATTTTATTTTTGATTTATGACAAAACATACAAAACCTGATTAGATTAATTAACCTGTGTGTTATACTAATAATGTCTTTTAAAATACAGTCATTTTAAATTTAGTGTAGAATTTCCAGTTGCGATTTATTATGCTAGGCTAATCGTATTACAGTAGAGTCCCGCGAACTCGGCGTAATGTGGACTGGAAGGGTGCCGAGTTTGTGAAATGCCGGGTTATCGGGAACTAGGGTTAAAAATAAGAACAATACAATTTTTAAGCTTTTATATTACAAGTCAGTATTAAGTCATCAGATATATTGTAGCCTAACTTACAACAAATCCTTGGTACGAGTAGTGAATGATTTGACTTGAGCTGGCTTGAGTCCATGTTTAACTCAGACTCAAAAAATCACTAACTTTCTGAGACGTTGATGGCCGAGTTATCCAGACTGCCGGGTTATCGAGTGCCGAGTTTGCGGGACTCTACTGTATTGATAAAGCTGTACAGCATAGTTTCCCAATACAGATTTTAAGCTCTCCGAGTATCTAATGGAACAAATTATTTTAATTTCCAAACGATTAGAACAAATCAAAATATAAGTTACCGGAAACGTAATTTAGGTTTTGTGAACTGATGGTTTAAGTAAGTTCAAGTTTCAATGACAAAATGTTATATTAACAATTGTAAGATTATGGTCTATCCAATAATCACAATTGCCGTAACCTTTTACCAGTCGCAGCTAACAATATTGTTTTTACCAAACAAAAATCCTTGGAAAGGATTAGGTTTAATAAATGTGTTTAAAGTTTTATCACACATTGCTTGGCGAGCACCTTAGTGTTAACAATTAATATTTAATATGGGCTTTATAGGAATTTAATTTTATGGTTGGTAGCGATAAACAGTTCATAACAAGCCAATTTTCAACATCTTCATTAAGTACTTTAATTCAAGAATATAATATCTTAAAGGAGCATTTCCTCCTTGCATTTGTCTAAACAATGATTTTTTTCTTTTAATATTCCAGCGTCTAGTAGTTTTTGTATTCCAAGTTTCACTATTTATGGCACCTGACGGATAAGAAAACCCTTACTTAGATACACACACAAACACAGCTGACCCTGCTGCCAGGTAGACGACTCACACACTGGGTTGCGTCCATGTAAGAACTGCTGTTTTAATTAAACACAAATTTTAATTTAACGCATATTTGTTAAATTCAAAAGAAAATGACACCAAACACGATATGATTATAATAATATTGTTAGAGTAACAATTAATTATGGCGAAAAAGATTTATACATAGAGAAACCCATCTATAAGGTTATACACGTATATACGAATTTGCACTCAGATTTGCTTACTGGTCACCCCAGTGGTGAGTCAAATGTCTGGCCAGGTTCGTGAGTGCACGTGTGAGAGTCGAGGGTCTCCTAATCCGTCAAGTGCGACAGACCGTGAAACGTGAAACACATTATAGATTTAACATTTGTCAGGATCGTGAATTTAGATTCCAGCTTAGTTCTTCAATAAGTTAAGATCTAGAAAATAATCTATGAACCCCATCTGGAAAATTTTTTATTCAATAGTTTACTCCATCAATAAAATATCTTCCATAAGCAACAAAATGTTACTTGATGGAAATTGGTTTAAAAACAAACAAAATTCTAAACGGTGCAACATACAAATTTAAGTATGTATTTTTTTGGACTACAAGAAATATTTAACAAATAATTTTTTTTAATAACCATATTTTCAAATTACTTAATTGATTTTAAAGGAGCTTTCAAGTTTCTAACGTAAAAATTAGAATTCACAAAAAAATTCTGTTTACATTTGTGACTAACAATCTGAAATGCTATGCTATTATATTTTCATATTCTCATCAAAGTATGGTGTTGTATATTTGATCAGTTAACAGTACACTTTTACAGGTGTCATCACTTTAATAGTATGGTTTTCTTATTTACAACCAATCCTTATTCTTGTGTGTTTGGTTTGTTTGTAATTGTACTGCATTAATGTTGTCAAACCACAGAAAATAGGTTTACATGAAGAAAGAAGACTCTTCGCCGAGACTCCACTTCTACTGCGGCTGTTGTAAGTTTTTCTTCAGAGAAGACTTTATTTGTGTTTATAGAAGCTGATGTAGTTTCTTATTCTTTTCAGTCTGTGTAAGAAAAAGTAACAAACACATATAATCTTGCATTAACGTTGTGTGCAAATGGTGAGGAAAAATGGGAAACTGTACTTGCATACTATAATTTTTTTTACTCCCATAAATATTGTGTTTTAAATACTTTGGTTATCAAATAAATATTTTGCAAGTTTGTCGGTAGATCTTCTGATGCTTTAAACTCAAGTATTCTACACATTCCACTGGAACTACCCAAATTGGTTTTTCAGTGTTTACAATTTTGTAAAAAAACGTTCCAAATGAAAAGTGCCATACACATGAGATTGCTATAAGGTTATAGGCCTACTGCACTACTTTCTAAAGAGAGACTTTGTAATGCCAAAATTATCCCAGATTTTGTTGCCACTTAATCAATTTGATCGGAACAGGAATGTTTGTTACTTTTTCCTCACGTGTAAACCTTACCTGTTCTCGGGTGGTTTTCAACCTGCCACCGTCGTGTTACCTCTTGCTTAACACAATTGGTAAACCTGTTGAGCAGAAACAGGAGGAGGAGAAAGAGGTGGAACGCCGACGGAGGGAAGAGAAGGAGAGAGAACGCAGGGAAAATGAGAGTCCGGTGAGCAACGGACGAGGTCGGTCGCGCGGTCGAAGTCACGCCAGCAGTCGAGTGTCACGCAGCTCCAGCCGTAGCGTGACTCCTGACAGGCGAAGTCACAGTCACCACAAGGCTAGCAGGCACAGGACTCGCTCTAGGTAAACTGTTATACATTGTCAAAACCAATAACAAACTAAACACCAAGAAATTTTTTATTATCACTAGCTCTTTTGAAGGCAAATCTAAAACAATTTTCTTTAATTTTCTCTGGTTTAAGTAAATGCATTTTAATGTAAATGAAACCAATCTTTATTCGCATTTGAAGAAAAAAAACAATAGGTACAACTCTATTTAGTGTTGTTAATTAAATGCCTTAGACATAAAAATGTGTAGACGAGACTCAAAACACAATATATAAAATGCTAAAAAGTTGTTACTCTAGAATTCACATAGTTTAATCATAGTCAGTAAGATTTTGATTTTTTGATATGTTTTGTTTTTTAATTTTTGTTCCTACAAGTACATTCAACGAGTTCCTTCTTGCTTCAGGTCTCGAGATAGGGAGAGGGAAAGAGAAAGAGAACGAGAGAGGGAACGTGACAGAGATCGTGATAAGGATCGTGACAGAGACAGGGACCGGGAGCCTAGAGATAGGGATAGGGATAGGGAAGAGAAGAAATCGGAAAAGGACATGCTGCGAGAAAAAGAGGAGGAAGAAGAGGCAAAAGAGAGGCGGAAACAGGAACGGAAGGCTAGAGAAAAAGAGGCTGCATATCAGGTGAGCATGTTTATAGATCGCCAATCCAATTTGGTTTAGGATGTGTTTTCAATATTCGCTCATAGAAGTAGACTCAGTGTCAGTATCCTATTGTAAAATCTTAGGTCTGTTTGTTAATTGTGATTGTGACTAATTGTTTCTGTCTTATTGGAGAGTTTAATTTATGATTTGTGCTTTTCTATTTGATTAAAATGCCAGGAAACAAGCAATAGGTTGTGAATATTGTTTCACCATAATCAGTTTTTAAGTTGGTCAAGAGACACATAGTAAACAAAAATAAAACTACAAAATTAATACATAATGAATAACATTTTTGTGTCATTCTTCCTTTTTGTGTGTGCAAACGTTTTCCTTGGTTTCGATTTAGCTGACTTATCTCCACCTATTTTAATATTTATTTTATAATGGCTGATTTCAGCTCCTAATTAAAAAACATTTTTCCAGGAACGATTAAGAACTTGGGAAAGCCGTGAAAGGCATAAAGCCAAAGAGTTGGCTAAAGAAAGAGAAAAGAAGAGATTAAAAGATGAAGAGAGGGAAAGGGAAGCCAAAAGGTTGAAAGAGTTCTTAGAGGACTATGACGATGAAAGAGACGATATTAAATATTACAAGTAAGTTAGAAATGTATAGATATATAAAAGAGTAAAAAGTGCCATGCACAAAAAAAAGAGTTTGTATCCAAAATGTTAAAAAAATCATCTTTATTGTTGTTGTTTATTGCTAATGAAAGTTCTTTGACTACAAGTCAAGCTATCTGTGAAACAGCAGACTAGGAAATACTGGTTATTGTAATGTTTAAACACTCTTTTTGTAGAACAAAAATATTCTGTTTTAAAATAAGAGTAAAGTTGACATACAATTGTTGATATAATTTGGAAGTGAAAAATATTGTTTTAGTAATGCAGTTTGTTGGCTGAAAATGCAATCAGTTCTGGTAAATTCTTCAGTATTCAACCTGAGTCGTGTTGTTAATGTATTGTTTGTTCTTTTCACAGGGGTCGGGAATTGGCTAAACGTTTGGAAGAAAGAGAAAAGGAAATGGAAATAGATGCCAGGGATAGACAAAAAGAAAAGGAAGAGTTGGAGGAATTAAGAGTGAAAATATTCTCTAACCCAGAAATTCTTGACCCCAATGTTGAATTTGCAAAGGTATTTTTGCCCCATGTCGTAGCTAGTTAACAATTACATCATTGATATTAATACTACCAAGCACTCCAAACATTGTGATCACAAATTGAATCGGGAAAAGCATTTCTAGAATATGAAAGAAATTAACCCTTTGCAGTCGATTGGCGAGTATAGGTCGCGGCCCACCATTTTCCCTACTGCTAAAAAATGGCGACCCACAATAATTTATTTTTGTTAAAAAAATACAACCGACTTCAAACGCTCTAAAAAGAATGAAATAATTTCAATAAAGTAAACTTTTGTATTAGGCAAGCTCACGTATTTTAAGTCGGCGCGGCTCTATGATGATTTTTGATACAAAATTGAAAGAGGGTGTCCATATTGCAGGTGACTCTAAAGGTGTTAATCTGCATGTCTTTTTCATAGTTATGCGTTAAGTGTTATTTTATTACCGTAATCAGAGATCGGCATTATAGTGGTATTAACGAGTATCTTTAAAAAGATTATAACGCATTTAAATGTTTCTAACTTGGAAAAGTAACGTTTTAATACTAAACTAGCTTCTTTTCCCTATCATAATATCAAACTAAATTATTTTCCTATTCATATAGAACATTTGTGTGTGTTATTTTCATAATGCATTTATTCTGAAGTAAACATAAAATAGAAGAAAATATTTCCTTTAATATATAAATAAAACAGTTCAGTATGTTTTTTTATATATTTATGTTATCCAGCTACAATTTATTGATTTTCAAAATACACACACAATATTTAATTTCAATCATATTTGCAGTTTGAGCCGCGCCGACTTGAAATACGTGAGCTTGCCTAATACAAAAGTTTACTTTATTGAAATTATTTCATTCTTTTTAGAGCGTTTGAAGTCGGTTGTATTTTTTTAACAAAAATAAATTATTTCAAGATTTTTAGTGACTGTATATTTTTTTTATATATTAATTACTTGAAGTTTTTTATTGATAAGCAAAACTGAAACAATCAAAAGTTCCACAGAACAATCATAATTTTAAAACTGCTTGAGTTCAGGTTACATAATCAATGGGTATGAAAATAAACATTTTTAGATATTCCTTAAGAAATAAAGAGTTGTCCATTACATTAGGCCTAATGAAAAACGAATTGTCTTTTCTAGATACATTGAAATGTCAGACATCATCGTTTCCTGCAATCGGTGTACTTCTACATTATAAAAAGAAATACACTAACGTCTCAAGCTTTTTGGAACAATATGAAAGTTATTCCTCAGCTACCAGCACTAAAAAATCTCTCAAAAGTGGAAAATTGGTCGTTAACACGTATAGTACCTTTTGGAAAATATTATATGAAAGATTGGTTCAGCTAAAAATGGTGCAAGTCATATAGGGGGTTTTGTTTGCTCAAGATATAGCCTAGTCAAAATTGCAAATCATCTTCATCTAGGACTTTCCGAAGCAGGCATAATAGTATTGATACGTTATAGTAACTGGGTAGAGAATATTAATAAACATTCCACATCTGCAAATTAAATATACGTATATGAAAGATTGGTTCAGCTAAAAGTGGTGCAAGCCATGTAGGTGGTTTTATTTGATCAAGATATAGCCTAGTCGAAATTGCAAATCATCTTCCTCTAGGACTTTCCGAAGCAGGCATAATAGTATTGATATGATATAGTAACTGGGTAGAGAATATCAATAAAGATTCCACATTTGCAAATGCATGTTTAGTAATTAAAATATTTAACACTTTTAAGACAATTGACGATTATGCACTGTCACACTTCTTAGGTCGTGTAAGGAATAATTGCATTTAATTTATATTTAGACCTGTTTTACGAATGCTTTGGTTTTCACAATACACCTTTATTTGTCAATATCATACAGCTATTCACTGAAACATATATGTTTTTGTAAGTCAGAATATTCAATACTAAAAACAGAATTACTGTATACACAAATCAGGTCAAACGTTAAAATACATTTTTTATAGTAACAAAAACAAAATGCATTTTTCTCAATGCTTAGGCTACATGGCAAGAAATAGTTTATTGATCAATATGAAGCAACTGTTTCATGAAGAATTGTCTTTAGCTTCATTTAAATGGTTTCAACTAACAGCTGTAGGAATGTTATTATTATTTATTGCCTTCTCTGCACAAATGTAAACAATCTGCACAAATGTAAACAAAATAAATGTTGAATATTTAAGGTTTTCAGAATTTTTCACCGAAACAAATATTATACTTAAACTTAATATATAAGGTACCAAATAGAAAATCTCCTGGTTATTTTGGTGGTGGAACCACACTGATCGGTAAAAGAATCACAGAGAAATTGGTGAACATACATAGAAAAAAAAAAAACATCGCCACAAACAAATTGAGAACCTCCTCCTTTTGTTGGTAGTGGGGAAGTCGGTTAAAAAAAATCTAAAATCAAAAAAGTTTTTCTTTGCGGTCGAATGGCGAGTATAGGTCGCCGGGCGCCAAGCCAATTTCCCGATTGCTCAAATGGCAACCTATACTCGCCGAAAATTTAAAAAAAAATTAGAGGTGTGCGGATATCCGAAAAATCGGGTCGGATTCGGTTCGGTTCGGATATCCGTATCCGAACCGAGCCCAAATTCGATATCCGACACTATCCGTTATATATCCGACTTTTTCGGATAGACAATATATTTTGACGTTTTGGACAGAAAACCTCCATAACCACCATTAGTTTCCCAGGACAAAATTACAGCAATACGTTTCCAACGACCTAACAGCAAACGGCAAAGAAGCCGTATGATGCAATACTGATAACTAGTTTAGTCGTTATCGGCTGTTTTGCTTTACTATAAGATTCGTCTGGAACGAACAGACATAAAGCAGAAAAGAACTACCATGGTCAAATGAAAGTCAACTCGTGCTTGTCTCGCTCCTGATACTAGGGGCTCTGCGTAATAGTTTTTTTACAGTACTGTTTCAAAGTAGAAAAATCTAGCCTACTACTGTGATGTTACGTAAACAATAGATTAAATGTTTCCCGAAAAAAAGTCAGAATAGAAACAATAGAAAGGCAACACAATAGAAGGGTGGGAGGGGTTGGGCAATAACCTCGAAAGGAGCGCGGGTAGTGAGTCAAGTAGGACCGGAGGGGGAAGGGGTGGGTAAGACCTTGAAGCTATATATAGACTTGCACTACTTCCCTAAACCGAAAGGACTGGCCGGCGAGTGGTATTCCAATCACAGGACAAGATACGTTGTTTTTTGGGCATTCATTGCCCGGTTTGACTTTGGATTGTCTTACTGTGTAGAAACTTTGAATAATAAAAAATAAAGTTAGAACTAACCACGATTATTTAGCATTTATTGTGTACATATTAAATGATTAAACGATAGGGACCATGGATGTATACAAACTTTTGTCGTGATTTTAATTTCAACATCAAAATACAATATTGCACAATCGTGATATTTTAGGTCATTGACCTTTATTATGCATCCGGTATTGCTGTTTCAGAAGAGAAGCACGTTGATAAATTATAAATTGATATTCCCGTAGTTAAAAAGAATTATTTTATAAACCTATAAAACAAAATCATAAAATCTTACATAAAGATAACAAAAAATAACGGAAATTGTAAAAAGGGAATAAAGATAACAACGTCATTATTCTTTCTCTTTGTTCTTCTATTTCTTGGGTTTCCCTTATCACGCATTCAACGTTATCAGCTTTTATGACATAGTGCACAGCAGGGGGTAAAACACTTGAGTGCAGCCGAGCGGCACTAATGAGGGTCGGACCTTCTTGGGGGTGAACAATAGACGGCTTATCAGACCCTCCCCTCCCCTCCCCCGTGGTCTGGAGAAAGCTTGTAAACAAACTATTGCACAAGCGCGCGTGACTTGACATTGGGCTGCTTCAATTATAATTTTGTCAAATGAACTGTGATGTTTCAAAATCAAAAACAATAATTTGGGACCATACTGCTTAACAATAATGGACTGCAATTATTGTTGAACATACAATCCATTTTTAACAAACTAAGATTATACGATTCAAATACAATTATAAAGATTATCTTGGTATTTTACTTGGGGTAATGAAGTTATGTCTAGGCTAGTGTAATTCTCGGTTCATCAAGGTTCTACTGAATTATGTTTGGCAGTGAATATGTGTAGAATGCAATTTATAAATTCAGGGATACACACCTTTTACACAGTTATAAAGTCTAATTGCCCAACATCAAATCGTGAGCTAGAGCCAATTTAGTGCATTAGTGATTCTACACTTGGCAAACCCACAAAATGCCACTTAAGCCCAATAATCCGTTCCAAAAACGTAAGGAAATACAATGTGAAAATAAACTTGAGATCGAACTCCTTGGCTTGTGAGAACCAGGAAACAAGATAAATCATAACCTCAAGTAAACAAGCCCAAACGTTTGACACCAGTCCTAAGGTGTTTGTGAAGATTTCGGCTGCTAGTGTACTTAATTCAAGCAACCAACTTTTGAAAATAAATGTTGTGAATTGTGATTTTCAAGAGAGAGAAAACTGTGGACTTGGCTAATTTGAAATTCTATAGTTCAAAATCGTCATTTAAGTTTATTTACACAGCTTTACATTGTTTTGTAGGTTAAAAATACATATGCAGCTTATTATTAACCGCGCCGAACTATCCGAATCCGAACCTCCCAATATCCGATCCGATCCGAACCGAGCCTCAACTATCCGATCCGAATCCGATCCGAAATGAAATTTCACTATCCGCACACCTCTAAAAAAAATCGACCTCAAAGGGTTAAGTTACCATGTTTTGATCTACCATCTCTTTGATTCATAATCAGGGTTTTTTTTTACTTCAAGACCAGTATTCCAATATAAACAACCAGATAATTGTTCTTAGGTTTTATTGTCAATAACTTTATTGATTGATTGATTGATACACTACAAATTTGCACATAACCTAAAAACACTCCCAGTCCCTGATCAGTGTTTATTTTATTTTATGAATCCTTCTTTGTCTGAGATCTATTGGTTAGTACCTTGCATGCTGGACATATTGATGCAGCTAGTGCAGTTGATGCAGTTATAGGTCAGCCGCTTAGAAAGCGTCCTCCTCGTAGCATTGGTGCGAGAGAGAGATACCGAGCTGTGGGAGTGAGACAGACTATGGCTCTTCCCCCACTCCGCTGCCACCCCACCCCAACCCATTATTTTATTTTACCTTTTATTTTACCAAATCATATGTTTTCTTGTAATTTCCCAAAGACTTTCAAATGGCAATCATTAGGAATCAGCTTTGAATATATAACACTATTTAGTTTTATATATCCAATATGGCGTTGTATTCAACATTGAATGAATATACTGTAGTAGTGTTATACAATATGGCAGTAGTCTAGATCATTTGATAGTAAGTACCATTTAATCGAAAAACAGTAAAGCAGTAAATACTTGATTGGCTGATTGGAGGGGTGGGGGATGTGCGTGCACACACCTTCTTTTACACGCCTTGCAGTCCCGGGTCCAGAGGTATTACCATGAATACTACGGTAATAGCTTATACCCTATATAGGAAATTCACTAAAAGGCCATCACTTAGATGTGTGATCGTTACTTGCGATGTTGGCAACGCCATTATAATTGTAGTCACGTTATTCGCGTCCTACACAATCGCGGCAACATCCGCGATAATATCCTGCGATTATCTCAGCATCCATGAATTAAAGGCCTATTTGTGATTGCGGCCATATCTTAATCGCGGCGAGATTCGTGATGATTGTCCGTATCGCGGCAACAGCCGTTGCGGTGGGTCCTGTATTCGTGATTGTTTGCTGTGGTCACGATTTTCCACTTCGCAAAACGAGGGAGGCTATTCGGTAAGCGTCTAGTAAATTTTTGAAGTTATTAAGAAAAACCATAGTCCGAGGGGTTCTCCTACGGGCTTAGTAGTTTAGTGCTTGAGTTTAGTGTGTGCCATTAAAGTGTAATAAAATCCCTACAACTTAAGCTATATGTCGTTTTGTGCTGTTTTTGTTAAATATATGTAAAAACAATCTTGTCAATTTATTTGTAACTATTTATTTTCCAATAAGGGTACTTAAATGAGATTTTCAATTATATAAAACATAAGTAGGAGCTGCAAAAAAGGTATTATATTAAAAACTATTTGTATATGGTCACCTAAAAATATATTGACTGTTAGGCAGCCACAGTTACAGTATTTACTGCTCACTGTTTTTCGATTAAAAGGTACTCACTATCAAAATGTTATATACTACCCCCATTGAATATACTGTATAACACTATGACTATATTCAATATTGAATACAACACTATAAAACGCTAAATAGTGTTATATATTCAATGCTAATTTGTAATGATTGTCATTCGAAAGTCTTTGGGAAATTACAAGAAAACATATGATTTGGTAAAATAAAACACGTTCAGCTTGCACGTGGCGTCACTATGCACACACCTTGTGAAAACGGCCATTGGTGGAGAGGGGGAACCTACCCTCCCTCATCGTTACCTCCCCTACATGCGCTAAAAATTTCGCGCAGGTCGTTTTCTAAACGGCCGACCTATAGTTCCATACTTTAGTCCTTAAAAATACACACTATTTAATTGTTGTAAAAGTCATACAATTTACTCATTTTATAATTACAGGCGCTGCAAGAGCGGGAAGAGATGTACAAGCCGAAGCTGGTGATAAACGTGAATGCGGAGCATGCAAAGCAACGAGAGAAAGAAAGAGAAAAGGAAAGAGAGAAAGAGCGGGAAAGGGAGCGGGAACGGGAGATGGAAAGAGAGAGGGAGAGAGAGGAAGCAGAGTTGGCAGAGTTGAGACGCAAAGCTCTGGCAGTGGCAGAAGCTCAACAAGAAGCGGAGAGAGCACTACTGAGGGAGGTGGAGCCACCGGCCTCCCCTCCACCTCATGTCAACTCTACACCTCCGCCACAGCCTGTGCCCGAGCCTAAACCTGGTCAGTATCTGTACAACTGTCCTCTTACTATGGGGCAAGGGGTCCCAGATATTTTCTTGTCATTTCGGGCAAAAATTGCAAGCCCAACTCAGGTCGCAGAAAGTGTCTGCGAAGATATTTGATCAAAAATTGACATCACGATTAATGTTCACAGTTCTGCTACAAACGTGGGAGACAATAATAATTTTTACCTTGACCGCGGAACACAATCATGATTTTGCTGTGACTGCATAAGTTGTTTCAAATTTTGCCATGATGGCGAAAGATCATCAAAATGTGTCCGTATCTCTGAAGCCGTTTACAGTTTCATTGTGATAACAGAATTATTCAGTATTTCGTAGATGTTCTTGATTTAACAGTGACTGCAGAAGACGTTCTCAGTTTTGCTGAGACTGCGGAAGAGGTCCTTGATTTTGCCATGACAATGGGAGAAATTCCCTCAATTACCTGTGATCAAGGAATATGTTAACTAATGATTTCAATGTGATTTTTGGTCTATTATGTACAATGTAAGATAACAACCGATTGTAGTTGAATGATTCCTGTGATTTGATTCTTTGAGCCTCACATTGGTCTAGGTGTCATATTGCGAAACCTACCTACAACTTACAACTATTCCTACAAGGATGACTAATAATAAAACATGCTTTAAAATGTACCTTAAATATGCTGCCTAGAATATATAACTTATAAAACCAATCCAAGTTTTCCTGCATCCATATCTTGAAACAAAGATCTTAAGGGTTTATCAGTAGGTTCGATACTAGTGTTGTAGACATCATACCACCATATGATGCTGACACAATATCATACAGACAGATTTTTTAATAAAACTCAATTAGGTTTTTAGGCTTTCAAAAGTAAAAACAACTGATAACTTCATCATTCTACTCAATGTGCAGACAAAACTGTTATTTTATTTATATATATATGAAAAAATTGTTTCTAATGATGTATTCTTTATCTTGCAGTTGCTAAACCGTGGAGTTCACCACCAATTCCTGAAAAGGAAAAGGACAAGAAGAAGAAGAAATTGGATGTAAAAGAGGTTTTCAACAATGATGATGAAGATGATTCCAACGCCGGCGTTAAGAAAAGAAAATTAGTTCCTTTAGGTAGGTTGGCAGTAGAGATAAGCCAATACCAAAATTTATTGATTTGCGATTCTTGATACATAAACCATTTTTATTTAATTTAAGTTTCCTGTCAAAGAATGATCGTGGCCAAAGCAAGATTGTGTGATCTTCACAGACGTGAAATAAATATCAACGATTATAACCGACTCTTGACGATTGATTCTCGATATCGATACCGATACCGATACCAATATCCTAGAAATTGTATAAAGCAAAATACCCCTGCCGCAGCAAACCAGCACACTAAGCGAATGTCCATTTGTCTGATTGGATTTACACTAAAATGTCTCCTTAAAAATGTCACATTTTTATTCCCTATTTAAATTAAATAACGTTCGTTTAACGAGTTCTTAGGTTTGCTGCAACAGGGAGGGTAAAAAGGTGTTTTTTTGCAAAATGGTAATAGTTTGGTATGAAAGTAATGCATTTTCCAAATTTGATCAAAATATATTCATAAACAAGCAATCTACAACAGTAGACTTATTCTCCATGAGCAACTAGTAATAATAAAATGGGAATTTTAAATCTACAATATTTTGGAATTTTCTCCTTAAGTGTACAATAACGATTCAGTATACAAAAATTTTTTTTTAAGCTCTACAAAATGGTTTGGAAAGAAATTGTGAAATTTTGTGATTTTAGGGTAAAATATGGGAAAAACGTATTTTTACCTCATAAAATCCCGTTCCCATAGTCCGATCATGCTGGTTTGCGAACTCGTTCGAATAAATGTAGGTTTACACGTTTATACCAAGTTTCATCAAAATCGGATCATTTTTGCTCGATGCTAACGGACACATACAATGGATACATAATGGATTCATATATATATATATGAATTTGAACGGATGGTATTTTTGGCCTCTAGGGACCTCAAAACGAAAAAGTAAATCGGTCCTGGGTCCAGGTCTTACCATGAGTACTACGGTAATAGCTTATTCCATATATGGGAAATTCGCTAAAAGGTATCAAGCATTGACTCGTCCCTAGTTAGCATTAATTTTAATCATTTTCTTATTGGTGATCAATGATCTTTAGTAAAAGTTATTTAACAAACCCAAAGTGAAATCATGCCATTGCAATCATTAAACCTTGTGGCATAAAAAAGCAAGTTTGTTCTTAAACAATTTGCTAGCCTGTTTTCAGCTCAAAGCTGTGCTTATGTTGAATTTACCGACTTCAACAACCGGTACATATTTCTTTGTATGTAGTAAGGGACCCTAGTTTTTGATTTGATTGAATATCATTTATACATTTTAATTTGTTTCTTTAGACTACGGAGATGAAAAGAAGAAAGGAAAAGATGATAAGAAAGATGAGAATAGTGGAAAGTCACAAGAAGAAAAGAGGAAACACATCAAAACTCTGATTGACAAGATTCCTACAGACAAGAATGCTTTGTTCGCTTTCCAGCTGGACTGGGCTGCTGTTGACAATGTGAGTTTTGATGTAAAATTCAATCTTATTTCCATTTTCTGTTACATATGATGAAATAAGAGTTTTAAAATTTGAGATATAACTGTAGTTGTCCTATCAAATATTGGACCTTAACGTTACTTTTAAGGACAAAACTATTGTGTGTCCTAATCTTGGAAAAGCAGATAGCTATAAAGTCCTATACTTCTGTATTCTTATAACTTTTCTCTAAAATAAATTTTCATACCCACAACGTAAGCAGAAATAATCTCCTTTACATTTTAAATAAACGACCACATTTTTCAATGAACAGCTAACTTTATAAAAGCTGGTTTTTGCAACGTCATGGATTGAAATGTGTTCTCTTAACTTTTGAAAGAGTTTACTAGTAGTTTAATATGTTTTTTAATCTCATAGCAACTGATGGAGAGGAGGATCCGACCTTGGATCAACAAGAAGATCATAGAGTACATTGGAGAGCCAGAGCCTACATTGGTAGACTTCATATGCTCCAAGGTATTGGCAGGGAGCGCACCTCAGGGTATACTGGATGATGTGCAGATGGTAAGTAGGGGAGTGTTCATTGAAAACTTATTAAACAGGATTAGTTGTAAAGAATATTTTATGCTGTAGATTCCTCTTGAGTGTTTTCATGCTCTTGTTTTTTTAGGTTGATGAGTTATTTGGGGGGCATAGTGAAACTGCCCCGACATTTTGGGTGCTTTCGAAAAATGAAACTGCCCCGCTCATTAAAGAGGATTAGGAAGGGTCGCCTCGCAAGACTAGAAATGCTGAAATTGCCCCGAGCTCCCGGCCAGGTAGTCGCTACGGGACTGGGAAAAAAGGGAATTATTTTTTACCTATAGGTCCTGTCAGTGACTGCAGTCTTCTAAAACTGCCGTGGACTGATTTTCCAGCCAAGTCACTATTGTTTCTGTACCAATACCTAACCTATCCTAACCTAGACCCGTAGCGGGCGGCTACCTGGCCTGGCGCTCGGGGCAATTTCAGCATTTCTGGTATGGGGAGGCGACCGTTATCATTATCATTATCATTTTGAGATAGGGACTACTCAAACTATGCGCGTATTTTAACCCAAATATGAGTGAAGTGCGAGTGTGTTGAGTGGAGTGTGATGCACATCATTGGGGGAAATTATGACATTACATAGCATTTTTTAGCTCGTTTTAATTATGAAGAAAGTTTACCAATACAATTATAACTGTAAAAGCCGCCTTGCTAAACACAGTTATAGCATATACAAACATTTCTGGCTTAAGTTGTCATCATGTATAACTAATTAAATTAATTTATGTATACCTGTTGTGCTTGCACAAACTCATGGAAAGATTTGTTTGTCAATCATAATCCCTGTTTTAAAGTATTCACCTGTAGGGTTCTAATTGGTTAACACTAAAAAAGTTGTTATCTGCTCCCTTTGCTAGAAAGGGATTCTTGGAAGTATTCATTCCTCCATAAATTGTTAGCAACATAATTTTTGCATCTGCACCAAAAAATAACAGTTAATTATACTATGCTTGTTTTAACAAGCAATGCACAAAATCAAAATCCCAGTTTTGTGGTATCCTGTTGCTCTATGTAAAAGATTCTATTTAATTATTCTTGTTGAAGAATTAACAGAGAACAGATTTCCTGTTGTTATTCCCCTCGTCTAGTAGACTACATTTCCAAATAACACCAACAAGTATAACAACAGATAATTGCACAAACCTGGCTTCCAACTATTCCATAAGTTCTGTGCACGGACCAGATGTGTGTGTGTTTCCAAAGATTAAATATTACAGGGTTGGTACAGTTCGGCCAAAGTTTCTGTGCGCACGACCAGAGCTGGCAAAGTACTTTTGTGAAAACATTTTGGTCTTGCTACTCACTCACCCCTACCCCCAGTGAGTATAGTACTGCCAATAACCAGTGCCTTTATGGCACCCAAGTGTTCACGTTTAGTAGCGACCCATTCCGCACGCACAGAAGTTTTGGCCGAACTGTGTATTATAATGGCCACCTACTGAGGGTTTTCTAATCATTTAAATTTGAGCTCTATTTGTAGTTTCAAATTTATTTATATTTGTTTTAATGTAAAATACTCTTTTTCAGGTTTTGGATGAAGAAGCTGAGGTTTTTGTCGTCAAGATGTGGAGATTATTAATCTATGAAATAGAAGCAAAAAAACTAGGTCTAGTTAAATGATGATAGCTGAAATCCCTGTGATCTGTTAGTTTTGTAAATTCTTGTACATATTTTTAATTTTTATATATTGTCAAACTCATTGTGGTTATCAATTGTAAACATATTGTATTATATATTGCTACAAGTGTATCTTATAGTTTTGCTTGCTGCATCATTTTAGCCAGATTACTTATTAATTGCTGAAGTTGTAACTTATTCTTTAGTGAGATGTGTGTGTGTACAGAACTAGGAATTAAATTACTTTTGTATAAGTTTTGTTTTTTCATTTCCCTTTGCCCTAATACAATGTAACAACTAATTGTTTATAGTGTAGCCTGCTATTGTCTATCCAATAAATGTGACAAGAAAGCAATTTGGATTTTATTGGATTTTTGTTTGAACTTGGTATGATAGCTACTCTGGAAAGTAACATGTATATTGTCGAGTTAAAACGTTTCTACATAAAGTATAGTTTTGGGTTTTGTTTTAAGAGTTATTGATAATTAATCCATAACCTCTCATCTCAATGAACAGGAACACTATAACTGTCTGTGGTGCGCTTACCAAAAATAGTATTAAAACACTTAAATGGGGACTCGAACTTGGATAGCTTACATCAACCTCTTTGATGCCACAATTCACTCAAATTCATCTCTCTCAAATGTGGCTAAATTTCAGTATCTACTTAGTAAGTTGTCTGGTAAAGCACTCAGTCTGGTCAAATCTCTAAAACTACACCATCACGTACAACATTTTGCGAGATCGGCGAAGGCTCTCATCTCTCCACACCAATAAAATCATTGATCTCCCTCCCTAGTGTCAGTTTTTCTTCTACTTAAGACCTCAGAAACTTGCTCAACTCTCAACTATATTAATGAAAACTCCCAAGCTCTAACAGCATTAGGATGTGATATAGTGAAAATTAACCCTCTCCTTGCTGTTACGGAAACTAGACAAAACAGTTGTTGAGTAATTTTGAATCTTCAAAAAAAGACTGAATCTCTACCCTCAGTCAATGAAGTAATAACTCTTCTGTCTAGTCATTCTGTACATGCCAAAGATGTTTCCATGAACTCACCCAGTAGTAATAAATGGGTGAAACCCCACTCAAATATCCCACCTTTGACAGACTTCAACCGCAAAAATGAAAAGACTCATGTCCGACCATTTACCATTGCATCAACACAGAGCTCTACTGATTTTCCTTGCTTCATTTGTTCTAAACCTGGTAAAAAAAAGAAAAGCCTCCTCAAGAACGGCACTAATCAAATCCAAGCAACGTTGTTTCTCTTGTTTTGGATACCATAAAATCAGTAACCGCAAATTGAAACGCCCTTTATTAAATGTCATGAAAATCACTATACCCTGTTGAATCTAGAACCATCAAAAGACCATACATCAACAAACCCAGTATCAAGCAAGCTCTCATCTCACTTCCTTGTTAACTGTCGCTGATTATGATCTTCATTCCTCCTTTCCACAGTTTTGCAAACAAGAACGAACATCTCTCATTTTCTAAACAATTTGAAGATTAAATGTTGGGCAAAAGAAATTTTGTTTTGACTCATTCTAGACAACCCTATGGTATATACCTACCTCATTAAGCTACCATTCAAGCATTGTCACCCTCCTGAAGACTCTTGTAACACCACTAAAACAAGATTTTTACCGCCAGAAGAGAAATTTAAAACTCATCTGTTGCAAAGAAGCAATCCAGAACTCTCGTCTTCTAACTCCTCTCTCACTCAGCAGATCCATCAGACATATCTGACTTAACACCTGGACACTATCTGCATATGAGCCCTCATTCTACACCTACAGTTCCTGAAGAAGAAAGCAACGAGTAGAACAAGCAAACACCTAACTTGAATGTGTGGGATCTTGTTGTGATTCAAAACTTACACCTCCAATGTGTTGGTCATTGGCTAGAACCGTTGAAACTCATCCTGGTTCGAATAACATACATTAGTTGTGACTGAGCAATGATGAAGAGTGGCTTTCCCACTAGACCAGGCCCGGCCCGTACTTGAAGACTATTCATTATTTTTCAGTCCCCAATTTTTTTATTTTACTCATTGGGGCCTGGCATATTCTATTGATTAAAACATATTTTTGGCTTTGGTCTGGCTCAAACCCATTTTTTGGGTTTTAAAATATTATCATGTGCTTTTTCGATATTGTTTTTGTTTATGTTGTGTGTTGTTGAAGACATGTAAAACTATTGTACTCAAACTCAATTGATTTGCTGTTAATTATTTTTAGTGGGTCTCTCTCATAAAAAAAATCTCTCTTTTCACTCTTAACTGTTGTTATAATAGCTCTAAATTTTTAATCTCAAGACACCTCAAGATACAAAGAAGAAAATAGTTAAAGGTAAAATCTTTTCCTAAACACGTATATATAATTTGATGTACTACTAAATTCTATTCTCACATTTCTAATTCTTTCCTCTCTGATCATTTTAGTTGTCCTTTTTACGCTACAGTGAATTGTCCTATTTTTTATATTTTCAAATCACTCTTTTAATAAAGAGATGTAGGCATACAGTAAGAAAAAGATAGGATGTTCAATAAGTGTTAACAAGCACAAATAGCAAGGCTATTTGTAAGAGTTTGAAAATAAAATAATCACAAATTACCTATCAATCATTTTGCAAACTTTTCCACAATATTCAATAACAGCCCCATATTATAGAACCACGAACCTTTAACTTTGAAACCATATCAGAATGTTGTACCTTTTTGTACTATGAAATTAATTGTGCTTTTGACTTGCAATCAAGGCCTTGGGTTCTGAGTTTAATTTAAGATCCTATGTGCCCAACTCTATCACACAGTTACAGTTGTAGGTTGTAGTTGTAGCGTGAGAAGTGTACAAGTGTTGGCGGCTCAGACATCACAGAGGCGGCGAGGTGAGAAGATAGGCAGGCGCGTGAAGTGTTTGTCAAAGCCGCGCGGCACCCAGCCTGTAATTTGGGGGGCGGGTCGACCTCGCCGCTTCACACTTCACACCGCCCGCTCTGCTCGATATTTGGAAATATCTGGCTCTCATTGCCTATCGTTTAAACCGTGTCATCAACACCGATTGTGGGATCTTTAGAATTCAACCTCGAACCCTACGAATATCTAGAAGCACCCGTGAGTTTGGAGGTGGTTGTTGTATCCGAATTGCTAAATACTGACAATGTATCCGACATGCTACTGATGTATATTATACGTAGGGCCCAACACTTAACAGTATTTCGAACTTTTAGAGTCCTAGGGCGCAATGGACTCTAGTCAGAAATTGTTTTACACATTACGTAGGTGAGGGTTGTGACATTCCATTTAGGCAATTGGCGGGGTTTTAATTTAACTCGGAACATTGGGTGCTGAAGTCCAACTACTAGAACAGCTGGCTCCCTAGATGTACTCGCATAGGGCATACTTATGGTATTAGTTGTTAAGTTACTTATTGCGTTAGTTAGTAGATACTTATTGTATCTTTTTCAGGTCGAACTTTGGTATTGACAATATGATTTTTTGTTTGCCATTTGATGAATCGTTCTCCTCACGAGGCTCTTTTGACCTTGATCCTTGGCGCCGTATCATTGTTAAGCACCATTAACCATGTTTGTGCCAAACTTAATTCGTGATGCACGTTTTGTTTTTGTTAAACACTAGTTTATGTTTCTAGTATTTGGCGACAATCGTTTGAAATAAGTCTGGGAAATCTGTTTGGTCCTTTGTCTCAAGCTATTTTTGAGGAGAGTTTGCGTAGGTACTGGTACTACTTCTGCTATTAGCGAATTTCCCTATAGGGAAGTAGCTATTACCGTAGGTCTCATGGTAAGACCTAGGCCCGGGACCGATTTACTTTTTCATTTTGATGTCCCCAGAGGCCAAAAACACCATTCGCTAAAATTTTTATATATCTATATATATATATATATATAATAAAGAAAGCATTACTAACTCAGTACCCTGAAATTATTTTTATTTTTGGGGTAATGTATTTTCAAGAGTAACATTTAACCTCCAAATTAATAGGTTAAATGTTACTCTTGAAAATGGCCTAAAGGTAGAAACATGTAGAGTTTTAAAAATAAAAATAATTTCAGGGTACTGAGTTAGTAATGCTTTCTTTATTATTTATAATAGTAGCCCTTTATCCAAACAATTGTATATATATATACAATACACAGTATATATATATACTAGTAAACACGTTGCTCGAAATCGAGCAATTGCAAAGAAGTAAAGTAGTTATTTAAAAACAAATAAAAGTCATCATAATTAAATTTTGATGAGTTTAAAAGACTTTGAAATAAAAAATAACAGCAATTAAAATATACAGCTGATCAAAATGTAAACAATAATGTTCTTCATAAGGATAACATGGGAACTTTAACAGCCACTGGGGCAGAGCCCAAGGGACTTTTTCAAAAATGTAAGGTCAGTTTGCAAATCTACGCGACACGCTCTTTCCAATGAGACGTCAATGGATAAAATCGGTTAAGAAATGGCGGAGGAGTTCAACCGACTAAAGTTTCATGTAGCCGCACGATAACTTGAGTAATTTTTGTCCGATTTTGATAAAATTTGGTTTGAAGGTGTAAGGCGGGATAAACTTGAATGAGTTCGCGAACCAGCATGATCGGACTATGGGAACAGGGGTTTATGGGGGTTTTATGGGGTAAAATTTGGTTTTTCCCATTTTTGACCCTAAAAACACAAAATTTCACAATTTCTTTTTCAACCATTTTGTAGAGCTTAAAAAAACAAATAATTTAGTATATTGAAGCGTTATTATGCGCCTAATTGTTACGGAGAAAATTCAAAAAAATGGTAATTTTAAAATTCCCATGTTATTCTTATGGAGAATAAGTCAACTGTTGTAGTTTGCTTGTTTATGAACATATTTTGATCATATTTGGAAAATACATTAATTTCTTACTAAACCACAGTCCCTTTTAACATTTTACATAAAAAAAAACTTTTGTACCCTCCCTGTTGCAGCAAACCTAAGTACCGTAGGCCTACTCATTAAACTAATTCTGTTTAAAAAGGGAATAAATGTGATATTTTTAAGGAGACATTTTAGTTTAAATCCAATCAGGCAAATGGAAATTCGCTAAGTCTGCAGGTTTGCTGCGGCGGGGGTATATTTTCTTTAGCTAGAAGTACTTGCTCACTTGAGAACGTGATAAAACTCCAGACAACCAAACATCACGGAACACCTTTTTGCCAAGTGTGAAGGATGTTGTCAGTAATCCCTCAAATACCAACCATAG